TTCTTTTTCCCACCTCTTTGTAGATGTGCCAAGACAGTGCCTATGCCTTCAATGCAAATTTAGAACATGTAATTACAGAGACTTGGATGTAGTAAATCTCAGCCTTTAAGAAAAAAAACGAGTAATATGCGGTGGAATCATTGCATGGAGTTTATGATGTGGGGATGTGTTGAACTACTTTCAAGATGTTTAATAGATTTGAATAAATAATGAAATATTTGTAAGGATTCTCTCTTTTTGTGGTAGAAAGTATATATGCCCCTTAATCGTCTTTTACAAACACAAAATGTAATCTTTTTTACTGGAATTGTCTGTAATAGCATTTAGTTGTAAAATTATTGTATAAGGATGATTTGCTTTGCATGGTTTTTCTCAGAGGTAGATATCTGAAAATGGTAAAATATCAACATGCCTAAATCCAGGCCCACACTGAATGCATGTGGATGCAGTGCAGTTACACAAATCATTAAAATCAATCTGTACACTCACATCAGCAATGGTGCGGTGCTGATATGGTTAATAACGCTGTTCAGTTCGACAAAACGTTTCTGAAAGAAAGAAACTTTGCCAGACGCTACAGCACTCTCCACATGTAGCTCCCAAAGTTCACCAGCCAAATGGACAGAAAAATGGTCCCAGGGATTTTTTGGAAAAAATTAACCAACCACTTCGGGTAGCCTGGCTTGTGAAAAACAAACAACCAAAACAGGAACACAATAAAACAGAGGGGCAAGTGGAGAAAGAAAAGGGATACTTTTGCCACAAACAGCAATTTTGTTCAACAACTCCCGGACAGATTGTGAACTTCTTTTCTTACTAGCACAGTTTCTGCAACTAGAGCTCCAGCTGGGCCAGGCTGGTCGCAGGGCTCAGTGTGAGTGAGTTTTTGCAGCTTGTCCCACCACCTTTGCAAGTTATCACTTGTTATCAGCATCAGGTGTATGTCCGCTCCAGTCCTTTATTGCCCCTAATGTTTTGTTCTTTTTTTAATTGCTGTTAAGTCTTGCCAGCATTTCTGTCCCTGCTAAAATATAAATCCTTAACAGTCACCATCAGCAAAAATATATTGGCTCCCTAGCCAATCTAGAACCTGATGGTGAGCAATATACGTTAAATGTGTGCAACGCACCCTCAGCATGTTGCATCACCCCACTGTTGTAAATTCTTGTAATAAGATCAGGATAGTGGTGAATTTGCAGCTGTACCATACTCTTTCTGTTTTCAGATAATGTGTTAAATAACAAACTTGTAAGGCTTCAGAAGCACTGTGTTTCCAGAACAATTCAATCACGAAACAGAAAGACCACATTTACTAATTAGCTGACCAAAGCCAAACTTTCCCACTGGTATTTATTTTGGGCTAAGAGAGAAGGGTGTGAATCCAAAAGCAGACTCATTAGGGGAAAAAAATGAGAAAACAATAATACTTTTCCCTCTTCTGCATAAATTGACTCTATGGCGAACAAATACATCTACATTTGCAACGTGACAAAATGTGAAAAAGCTCTGTATAAAGAACATCTTGTACTTGTTACCAAGTTTTTTTTTTGTTATCTATTTTAACTTTTTCTCCCCAAAACGTTTCTTGATCCACTCCAAAGCTCGTTGCAGCAGCAGACTTACAAAAAATAACAAAATCTCAAAGAGGGAGCAGTGATTTAATGTTCCCTCCTCTGTAGAAACCAGTGTTAGTTAAAGTTGAACTTGTAAGAGCCGCTGGTATCCCACTGATAAAAGTTTAAATATGCTTTGACATGCATGAACGGGCGTTATCCCTTTGCTTCTACGTGATGTTATTTTTTTTTTCATTGTTCAGTGAGCTCTCCTGACAATTATAAATTATTTAGGGCATAAAAAATGTACTGTAAAGAGATTTTGCCCTAGGTGGATGTAAGCAGGGGCTTCATTATACAATTTGAAATCTATATGTTGGGTAGAAACCTTAATCCAAGTGCTAAATAAGTGATGAATTATGAAAATCTGTGTGAGTCCAAGATGCAATGGAGGACGTTTTATAATAGGGAACATGATTAGGTGTAAAAAAAGGACATTTTTAGAACATTCCAAATGAAATGTTATTTTTGTAGGTGTATAAAAGGCAACACATGTTCATCACATAGTCCCATTTTATCTGGGCCATAATAAATATCTTAAAACATTTTTAAAATCATCTATGAATCCTATTTTTAGCAGAGATATAAATGTATTATAACCAAGACCTCTTATCAGCTTGGCTTAGCTGAGCTTTTTCATTAACGTTGACAGAACACAAACCATATGTTCAAACTGAAAAGTCCTCATTTTTCTTTACTCTTTATCATTTGTTTTCCTTTTTCTAGCCATTAGGGAGAGTGTAGAATAGCTGCAGGCCTCGTTTGGGAGGTAAGTTAAATAACAGCTCCTTATTTGGTCAGAAAATTCCCATCACCACTTCCAACAAAAATAACCGCAGTTTGTTGATGTGACTACCTTGAGAAACAAGACCACACACATCATTGAGGACAAATTGTAGCAACTGCTGCTCTACAATCCCCCCCGCCCCCACCGTTCAGCTGCCTGATCAACTGCACTGAAGTTACTGACGGTGTTCATGGAGCAGCAAGCACACCTTTTCTTTTTTAAACCCTTTCCTACATAGCCTCTTTGCTCTCCTGCCCATTTCAGCTGGCCTTACTTGATTAGAAATGAACCATTAGTTTACCTTTTAGACCTGCTCTTTAAAAAATACCAAGTTCTTTTCTGAGATAATTAACATTTTAATGTCCTAATCTATTTAAAAACCCATTTTCGTGACTAAAGTTGCTGTTACTTTGTGGCCACTGAAGCACTTTTTCAGAGTTTTTATGTATTTACCAATTAATCTTTCTTTAATTTCTAGGAGCTAAACTATGTTTTAAGAGACATAAACTGAACCAGAGAACCAAAGCTTCTCCATGTGGATCCCAGTCCACTTCCATAATAATGTCTTGAGAATTCAGCCCATATCCAAATAGTGAGAAGGACAACAGTACATTTCAGACCAAACTTATGAGCCTTTTACTAATGTTGTTTGGCTAATCTTGCAATTTTCTTCTCATTTTGCATTGATCACTCTTAGATTAAGATCAATAAGGTTAAATGGCAGAATCATCTGAAAAAAAATTCTTTATCTACAAATGAATAAAGTTAAACCAAAAACTAGTCATGAAGTTGGAAGAACTAGATTTAACATTTGCCTATTTAAAACAATATAAAAGGAGTATAAAAACCAAAATGTATTCTTTAATCTAGTTTTTCTTTTTCAAAAGGTTATTAATGAAATCATACTATTTTCAATAATTGATAATATAACATGACCTGGTTGTTGCACTCATATTTTCACTATTTATTAGGGCTGAAACAATTAATCCGATTAATTGTGATTCATCAATTATTGAAATAATCCTCAACTAATTGAGGTACTGGAGCATAAAGACTCTAAAACATGACTTTAGCTGACAGAAAAACCTACTTAGAGCTGTAATTTTACAAAAAGAATAATAAATATATAAACATTTTGCATTTAAGATTAAAAAAAAAACATTTTCATCTTTCAGTATGCTCAATCCAGAACTTCTAAATTGGAAAATTGTAGCTTCACCTGATTTAATTTAGTAAAAAAAAAATCTTATTTGAGGAACCTTTGGCTATCCGATTATTAATCATTTAATTGAAAAAATAATCGACAGATTAATCGATTTGCAAAATAATCGTAGTTACAGCCCAACTATTTATCTTCGGAGACTAGTTCCAAGGCTTGGAGATCGGAATGCCTCTTTGCCATCACCCTAATCTTTCATTCCCTTTACACGTTCTCTATCAGATTCAGGTCAGGACGCTGTAAATGGATACTGTAAATGTAATCATATTTCTGGTCAGGAGACACATACAAGTGAAAAGAAAACAATACTTTAAACCCCAATCTACCAAGAGTTATAACAATTTTATCCTAACCTGTAACCTTGTCTTCTAGACATTTTTTTTATTTTTTTTTTGAAAGCTTACTTTAATGCAGCTTGGTTTCTATCTTAATATGTACTATATCATTTCTAGTCTGTAGAATATTTCTTTTTTTTTTAACTGATTAATCTTAGGTGTATTTGCTTATTATGCATTTTGATTAATCTGTCCTTTAATGAATAGCAATGTGAAAATATATAATTTGTTCTTTTTTTGAGTGCGACTAAATCGTGGGGTAAAGAATTCATGCTTTTGATTTTTTTTCTGAACCGTGATGACACCTGATTTATTTAAAATACTTTAATGTAGCATTATGCTGAAGTAGGCTGGCAAAGCATAACTAACCTAATTTAAACCATTAGTCTTAACACATTTCATATTAGCTGATCAACAACACATGTACATTTATAAGAAATCTCTATCTTTAAATGAAGGTTCACTTTCCACTACTTAAAAGCCCCTTTTTCCTCCTCTACCTGGAAACACAAGCTGCTTGATCTGCTTTGAAAGAGCTCAATGAAATATTAATCATGACATCACTTCCAGAGAACTATGCGAGAACACACTTTAGAGTGTTGGAGTGGGAAAAAAAAAAAAACAAGTTCAGCCCACTCTTGTTGTGGGTGAAAATATGGTGCTCATGCTGCACACAGTTTTAAAGCAAAGCAACCAGCAGGTTGATGGTTGCCGCTTGGCAATGTAATCTGCGTCAAACAATGTAAAAAGCTCTACGTGTTCAATGCATTCAAGGCCTTTACAGCTATTGCCATGTTTGGATGAGGGAAGCCTTAGTGCTATCTTATAATCTACATCTTAACGGATTACTTCAACCACTGACTTAGAAGGAAGTGCTTTGACATTTGCAGTATTATATACATGCAGTTATTAAATCACCAAACCATATGAACATATGATCCAAGAAACAATCTGCTTTTCAAACCTTTAGGTCCACAATCCATAAAAACATGATTAAGAATGTGAAACTTGAAATTGTATATTGATCACACTAAGGTTAGACTTACCTGTCTTGGTGTTGATGGCAAAGAAGCCCTGTGGATTCCCACTGGTGATCCTATAGCTGAGCTTGTCGCTGGCCTTTGAATCAGGATCAACTGCATTTATCTGGATGATTGACACATCTTTCGGGGAGTTCTCCATGACAGAGGGGTAATAGACGGGTTCGGTCGTTTGTGGTGCATTGTCGTTGACATCCTGTACTTCGATGTAGACCTCAACAAAACTAGAGAGGGGCACCACACCCCGATCCATGGCATAGACTGTTAACCAGTAGTGAGGCGTTGTCTCATGATCCAGCCGCTCTAGTGTTCGAATGACACCTAAGGGAAAAAAAAAAAAAAAAGAATGAATGACCTTTAAAGTTTGCATCATATAAAATCATCTCTAAATTTGTTTTACCAAATTAAAAGATTAATTTGTTCATCAAAGGACACTGTCCTGAAAGATGTCAATGTTGTACATTAACAACTACCACTCCTTGCTTTTCTGTTTACATTTCCCTATCATGCGGGGGCTCTAACCTTCAGCTGAGCAAACAAAAAGGCTTCATATCATCAATATATGAGTAGTTTGGGATGACAGTTGCTGGATACACTGCTGAATGAGAAACTCCTGTAACATGAAAGAACGGTGTGTGACACATATGTGCTTGATAGATGCCATACATTACTGATGGTTCATCTATCCCTGACTCTGAATCAATGGGAGACATATTTGGACGTGACCAGCAGCATGAAAGAAGCTTGTTGAATTTTTATATGGAAAAACTAAAAACAACGTTCACATCATTGAATTCACTTTAGTACATTTTATTTCTATCCAGATAAAATTAGGAAAGCACTCATCAGGTGCTTAGCAGGCACTTACCAGAACAGGCATGGATAAGTGTGGAAATGTGTAAAGATTTCTTAAAATAAGTCAACATTGACAATATGAAATTGAGGTAATTCCGAGCTCATTGACAAAATGACATATAGATCTAAATTTAAAGACATTGGGATTTAAATGTGTCATGATGCCTCAAAATCAAAGTTAAACAAAGGAAAAGCAGTGTACATAACAAAGAAAAAATTTTGTCCTAAATCCCAAATGGGCACAGTTAAGCTTCAAATGACACTGATTTACTGTTCTTCTTTCTGATATAATTTACTCAATCACCTTTAAAGGCAATCCAGACAGCTTTCTTTAAAAGTAAAGCTGAAAAACAAAATTTTAATAACAAAACACAAAGCCCTTCATTGGAAGATTTATCAAAGCAACAGGACCGTGATTTGAAGAGTGATCGCCAGCGACATGACAAGCTGTTATCACTGCGAAAAGACATGCTTCAACTAATGCTACCCTGTTCAATAGAGTAACAAAAAAACACAAACCCACATATTTGTCTGTCAGTATGGCATAATGTAAAAAGAAAACACAATGTCAACGACTCCAACTAGAGTCTTGGTCATTTTTACTTCACTTTTTTCTATTTTTGCAATTAAAGCCTTCATTTTTTTTTTTTGTTTAAGTGAAATAAATCAACTTAAACAATCTCCACATTACCTTTAGCCTTAAGCGGGGGTAACTGCCATGCATGGGCTTAGTTAATTGTTTTTTGTGTCCATGGATAATGTGGACCAAAAAGCAAAGCTTCTAAATGACTGCTCCTGCACTTTATCATCCAGTTGACATTACCCTTGAATGGTTCAGTTTATCAACAATCACAAAGTCAAGTCATGAAGGGCATAATAAAAAAGCAAGAATTGGCAAGACAAAGGAAACCATGTTAATGTCCCTTTAAACCGCATTGACAGTAAAAAAGAATTGAATACTTTCCCATGAATTGCTAAAGAAATTTATGGTTTTATTTGAGCATGCTGTTATCTCAAGCTAATAAAATGAATTCTTCTATTGATGTGTAATATGAGCAGATATGGGTGTTTTTTTCCCTTTGAGTTGTTGCCATTTACCCATAAAGACATTTGTAGTCACTGGCAGCTTAGATAAGAAACTCCAAGAAGACCATAAAAAAAACATTTTCTGATAGCGTACAAAGAGTATCTGAGATGTGTCCCAGCCTTTGTTTGCTCACCCAAGCCTACAGAAATGAACTGCGATGTCACAAACATTTACCATTGGGCAATAGATTGTTAAAAGATCTATACTCAATGGGACATGCCACCCAATGCAGAAATTTGTCCTATTGCTTTTATTCCTGTATCCTGTCTGCATCAGTCATAATTACTCAATGCTAATAATTAGTTCCTCAATTGATGCATGTGATCTAATAAGAAGTGTAACCTGGCAAAAACAGTCAGCTCAAAACACTGCTTTAATGTTTAAAGCACCACAAAAACAATAACACCATAGATGCATTTCCTAAACATTTTGGATTGTATTTGAACAAAAAAAATTGCTTCCCTCTGAAATGAAACAAAAAACTATTCAAAAACATCAAAACTTTGTAAAATTTCATAACTGAATTACATCTTACTCAAATCTTAATTTTACATATTCATAAACCCTTTATAGAAATAGACAAAAGCTTTGGGAAAAAAAAACAAAACAATTATTTCATTTAACCTGCCTGGGGCTTCGCTAAGCTATGACCTCCACAGAAACCGCAGCGATATTAATCAGAGTATTTACAAAGCCTCTGTATGATAGATGCTTCTCTGTAACCTAGAAGTGCTGTTGGTCACCATTCTTAAAGAGGGAGACCATCATCCCAGTCTGCCAGTCCAGGATCACTGTCCCCAACATTAAATGTTGAAAGGAGCGTGTCATCCATGATAGCCAAATAACATCTAAAGACCTAAGGTACTAAGAGGCTGATCTCATCCACCATTGAAGCCTTACAACGATGGAGTTAAAACTGCTGGGAGGAGGAGATCCTCAAAGTATTTCTTCCAACATACGACAATGTCCTCCGTCAAGGTCAGCGGTCCCTCGCTCCCTTTGCGACCAGTGTTAGTGAAGCACTCCCTGCCCCTTTGCTAAAATTGCTTTGAGGCCAACTAAGCTCTCCCAGAGGTGGGAGTTCAACATATCCCTGACCGAGGGTGCCACCAGACTTCCCCAGCAGACCCTTTCTACTCACTCGGGCCTGTTGAATTTGTCTGTCTTTCTTCTCTTCAATCATATTCAGCACAGCACTAGGGCTCCTCTCGAACACCTCAGTGTCCCATGTTACCTGAGGTCAGAAGATAGGACTACAAAATCTCTTAACAGCTTAAAACTCACTCATGACCTATGAACTCAGGTGTTCTGGTGCAGAATACACTGATTCACATCCTTATGCTCAAACATGACCAATCCATGACATGCTCAGAAGTCCAATAAACATAGCTGTGGCTCAGAGATGGTGTCAGTTCCTCCCTAATATGCGCATCCCCAATTACACTGTCGTTTGCATCATGGGCACTGGAATTTGATAATTACAAAGAAAATTGGCAATACTGAATCGTCTTCCTTTGGTAACAACTTCTACAGAGGAAAGGTTTGTCAGGTAGTAAACTTTCAGAACTGATCAAGTTGGAAATCAGTAAGCCGCCATCTTGGCTGCATGGCATAGGTTTAAATTAAATAACATTATACATCTACACATCCCCAAAACAATCGGTTGAATCTTGGCTTAGCTGGAATTTGAAAAAAAGTCCTAAACTCAAGAAATAACAAACACCACTGTAACAGGGGTTACGAAGTTGTTAAAGAACAAAGAAAAAAAAAGTTGCTTAATGTTAGTTTGAAAAGGTGCAACACAAATATGCAGAAGAGAATACAAAAAGGAAAAAAAAAATATGAATCACTGACTGTCTCAACGCCAAGAGAGATGCCTGTGCTTGTAGGCTCAGCAGATTTCGTCTCAGACATTGGTGTTGTGCCATTATTCTCTTTGTACTGCAGAATAGCTGCTAATGATTTTGCTTTGAAATGTATAAATAAAAAAGTTAACTTTATCCCAAATTTGCAACAAACAGATAGGAAGTGAGGCTTGTCATATAGTAACAATTTTCAAGAGTAATGTTTTTTTACCCTCCTTTATATTTATTTAACTTAAAGGGAAATGCTGTCAAAAACCTTGGATGGGAAAAAGCACAGATGAAAATCTATCTGACTCTGCTTCTAGGGGAATCGTTTCTAACAAAGCAGATGAAAGATGATTCTGAAGAATTTACTTGTCACACCCTTCCCATATACTAACCTACCCAGTAACGCAAGAACAAAACCTGCCCTCAGGCCACATAAAAAAACAGGCCATGCAAAAGCCTCTGCCAAGACTGCCTTTCCGTTTTTTTCTCCCTTCTCTTCTTTTCCCTCTGGCTTTGTTCTTCAAAGCTACTTGAGCACAGCGGCAGTGCCGTTGAGACCCCAGACAGCCATCAGATGTTTAGCTATCAGGACCAGCAGGTATTTTATGTCTGTGTACATAATCTACAGTTCATTCAATAAAAAGCCAATAGTGTATTATTTTAAGATGCTGACATTTTTTTAAACCTGCTTTGAGCAGTTCATGGAACGTCAGAAGCAATGAAGACAAAAATTGAACTTTAGTAAAAGCTCTCTACGATATCAAAATAGGGAAAGTTCCTTGATCTGTGTCCTGTGCAAAGTTACGAACTGACCTGGAAAGCAAGGATGTACAGCATTGCTCATTCTGCAGCTAAAGAAGGTAAGTTATCTTTATTTGAGCCACGTCGGTTAAAATGGCTCACCTCTACCCCACATTCCTGTGCCCTCTCTACAGTCCTGTAGCTCACATGCTTGCATAAACTCTCTCAGTATGCACCGCCACCCCCCCCCACAAGCCTTGGCAAAATTTTTGAAATTCCTCTACCTTGTTGTTGAGCCTTGTGTAACAGAAAGAACCCTTAACTTAGCATCTTATTACCCAACAGATTAGATTTCATAGCTGCCCCCCACTTCCCCATTCCGATGCAAACACACTAAAGTTGCACACATCTCTGGAAGACATCTCAGTTTTAAGGATTTTATACCGGACATTAAATCCAAGAATTTTCTGTGATGTAACATATAAGTAATATAATCAAAGGGAATGCTCTTAACATTACTGGTCAAGCTATGTGGTTAGTTGGCCTTTTTATCCACAATAATTATAAGGTTCCTCCTTATCACACCAACAAAAAAAAAAAAAGACACAAAATATATAAAATCGCTACTGTTATAGCATGTGAAGTGTTCGGGTTTGTTGTATAAAGTTCAAACACTGGTTTATATGCAATGGAAATCTAATGAGAGAAAGAAAATACTTTTTCTTGGTACTGCAGCTTTCTAAAAATATGTTAAAAAGAGTGGTTTTCTCTGTTTGTTATGGGAG